ACATTTAATACAGGAACAATGTAGTTGCACGGGACAATTACTAAACTAATATGAACTCAGGAATGAGAGTGAAATAGCAATCAATCATCCAAACTACACAAATGTTACTCTGATACCACAAACAAGCTATCTGTGCACACATATGATTAACAGTGAATCATAAACTCGAGCAAAAACCCTGCAAGCACCTTTTGAAGGTATAGGTAATGTCAACACCTAAATACAAGTCAACCTTCCAATTTTCAAATGCTTGTGGTACTTCCCTCACTATCCTGAAAGCCCTTTTTAACATGTTCCTCCTCCTAGAGTTTGGCAAGTTTTATGGAAATCGGTTCAACTGTTCAACAAAGCTGCAGCTCATCAAAGCCTGACAAATCCCTGACTCCTCCAGACTGCAGCCATGGGGATCTGGCTCAAGGGCTTTTCTGAAGGTCACACAAGATGCTTGTAGCTGAACAGAAAATTCAATCCAGCTTTTTAAATCCCCTGAACATTATTCTAATTACACTTCCTTAAATTCCTATGCTTCAAGGAGATTGCTGAGATAGTTTTCCTATTTGAGCAGTACTCTAATGTTTTGCATACAGATACCTCCTGTCATTTTAAAGCTAAGTACCATTTACTGACAAAATACGTGAGGGGGAAAATTGCTGGTGTTATGTTACTACAGTGAGGTTTCACGTTGCACGGATCAGGATTATCTAAGGTACTTGTTCACTTGACAGTGTCATTCAGGACTCTCATTCAAGTAATATTCAATTTTGATTATATAAGGTAACATTTGCACATATGTGAGATAATTTTCTGAATACCAGCTTTAGCTGCACCGTCTCAGCCTCTTCTGTGTACGCTTCTTATCTATAGTGTGTTGCCATAGCCTGAGGAATGAATGTGTTTAGCTGCAGTCTCTGATTCAGACATTAGATGTCCCTGTGCACTGTGAGGGACTATGTTAGGTGTAGTCCCCTGTAAACAACACAGAGATGAACTAAACTGGTTCTGGGAAATCTGCGTGTTGTATTTACACTTGTTACTATCCTATTAAATTAAATGAGTGCCTCCTCTAAGAAAGTCTGTTATTTACCAGTTCACAGAATCCAAGTAATTGCATATTCAGAAACTTAAACTGGCTAAACATAGCTCCTTTTATTCATTAGTACATGATGACAGTTGGCCTTTAAGTCAACCCCTTTGTGTCCCAGTTTAGATTAAGACTTCCACCAATGAGAACTAAGATCAGACTGAGTTCTCATCTCTGCATCATCCTTTCCCCTCTCCATTTACTTCTGTGTTTTTCCCCGACTGTATGGCATTTCTCTCTGTCCATCCTCCTCATACAATAAGCAGTCTCCTGAATAATGGAGTATGTTCCATGCATTTGAAAACTTGCTGATTTTCTCAGAACTTGTCTGTTTTTCATTAATTTGGAATTTTTTCATCAGCAGTGTCATAGCCATGCCCCATCATATTTGCCACAAATTAATGAAGCATACAAAACTAAACAATTAATTATATCCATGTTTGTATTTTATAAAATACCACACAGTAGTATTTCCCTTGAGACTATAATCAACTCCAACAGGAGCAATGACTGCACAATTAAGGCAAAACAGCCTAGTCTGTGTTATATTGAAAGGATGATTATTTTCTGCCTTATCGAGGTGAGGAATGCATTTTCACAGTGCACTCAGCAAGCAGTGGAAGTTTCAGCACCAAATATCAGTACCAAAGTATCCATTGAACATCTGTAGTCTTGAAATAAGCCTTGTAAAAACAGAGAAGTGATTTTCTGCCCTCTCACTTGTCAAACTGAACTTTTGCCTAACACTATACTCATATTCCCTTTCTTTTAAGTAGCTGTCTTGTGAATTTCACAAAAAAAATATATATATATATACTCAGAAGCAGATATTGTGTTATTAAATGTTTTCTCTCTATAATGAAGTCTCCATACATGTAACAAAAGCAACTACTTTAATGATGATGCTAATTACTTTTCTGTAGCACAAACAGAAATTATGTCATTTTAATGGCTATTTAATCTCTGCAGTTTGACAGATGTGTATCTCTGTTATTTGCCTCGTATTGTTTCATGTATTATGAGCACACGTAGGAGTGGGTTTCCCCACTCTCAAGAAATGTTTCAGCAAAAAGATTTTTCATGAGCATTTTACTAGCAGAAAATGCCATAAATAACCTATGTGTTTTTAAAGAGCTTCCAACAAAACATCTAAATGTTGTGATACATCTCCATTCTAGTCACAATCTAAAATAATTGAAACCCAAAATCCAAAAGAAATAAGTAGTTTGGCTTGGTGTATTATTCATGCCATGTCTTTACCACTTATTTAACATTCTAAGACAGCTGACAATCTGAGGAGACAAATACATTATGTCAAATTAGGAAACTATTATATAAGCTTTTCTTAAGTCATGTTAAAGGGCTTTTGTCAGGCAAACACACATACGTGCTACACTTTTTTGCAAGTGGAAACAGTAGTTTCGATGAACTTTATGTACTTAAATTATGTACCACTGTGTAGAACTCAAGCCAAAAACTTGGTAAAATCAAGCCTTTTACTGAAAGTATACTTGGGGCACTTTGTTACAGGGCCCTTCAGATTACAGCTCTCCATCTGTTCTGTGTTAAGGGAATTAGAATAAAGCTAATTTTAGACCTGAAAGGCAACGCACTTTCACTAAAAAGGCACAAATCCAGTCTACTAAGAGGGTTACGAGAAGAAGAATCAGTAATGCATATATAAGATACTTAACTGATGTTGCTGGCTCTGTGCAACTTTCTGGAAGGAGGAGCCCTTTTCCCGTTCAGCAGAAGTCCTACCTTCCATCTCTGCAGTTTGTGGTAGATTCATCTGCTGTATTCCATACCTGAACTCTGTGATAGAAAATGATTAAATCCTATGTGGGACTTTTCAGTTACTCTCATAAAACACTTCAACTGATAACTACTCTACAGCTTGCAATTCTTCAAGGAAAGTAATATAGCTTAAATGCAATAAAATTAATCCATAGCTTAGAATCATAGAATCACAAGGTTGGAAATGACCTGCAAGATCATCTAGTCCAAGCGCCTTCCCATTCCTATTAGTACCACAAGCTACTAAACCATATCTCGCAGCTCCTCACCCAGGCGCCTCTTGAACAATGCCAGGGACGGCGACTTCACCACCTCCCTGGGCAGCCATTCCAGTGCCTGACCACTCTCTGAGAGAAAAAGTTTCTCCTAATGTCCAACCTAAACCTCCTCTGGTACAACTTCTGGCCATTTTGTCAGGTCCTACTATTTGCCTGGGAGAAGAGGCCAGACTCTTTTTCATCACAACCTCCCTTCAGGAAGTTGTAAAGTGCAATGAGGTCTCCCCTGAGCCTCCTCTTCTCCAGACTAAACAATTCCAGCTCCCTCAGCCGCTCCTCATAAGACTTGTGCTCCAGACCCCTCACCAGTGCTGGCTGGCTGGGCCTGATCCCCTGGACACCACGCACATGCCCTGCAATCTCACCCAAGATGGTTTGCTCCATTACTTTCCCCAGTACTGAGGTCAGGCTGACAGGCCTGTAGTTTCCCAGATCCTCCTTATGGCCCTTCTTGTAGATGGGAGTCACATCAGCAAGCCTCCAATCCTCTGGAACCTCTCCAATCATCCAGGAGCGCTGGTAGGATAGCCAAGAGAAGCTTAGCAATCACCCCCGCCAACTCCCTCAGCACTCTAGGATGAAGCCCATCCAGTCCCATGGACTTGTGACAGTCCAGATGGAGGAGGAGCTCCCTAACCACCTCCACCTGAATCTCCGGGGATATATTCTGCGTATCAGCCCAGATTTCCAGATCAGGGCACAAAGTGCCCTGAGGATAACTGGTCTGACTATTATATGCAGATGTAAAGAAGGCATTGAGGACCTCAGCTTTCTCCTTGTCTTCCGTGGTCACATTCCCCACTGCATCAATTAAAGGATAGAAATTATCCTTGGTTCTTCTCCTGCCATTGATATATTTGTAAAAGGATTTCTTATTCTCCTTTACTGCAGTGGCCAATCTGAGTTCAAGATGGGCTTTGGCCTTCCGGACTTTCTCCCTACATACATTAGCAACTTCCTTGTAATCTCCCCTAGTAGCCTGTCCCTTCTTCCAGAGGACATAGACTCTCTTTTTCTTCCTGAGTCTCGACAGTAGTTCCCGGCTCATCCATACCTGTCTTCTTCCCCTGTGGCTCGCCTTACGGTATTCAGGGACAGTCTGTCTTTGCACCTTTAAAATTTCCATCTTGAGGAGCGTCCAGGCTTCCTGGACCCCTTTACCCGTAAGGAGCGACTCCCAAGGGACCCGTGCTACAAGCATCCTGAACAGATCAAAATCTGCCCTCTTGAAGTTCAAGATAGTAGTTTTGGTAGTCACCCTTCTGACATCTCCAAGAATAGAGAATTGTACAGTTCCATGGTCGCTCTGCCCTAGACAGTCCCCAACCTTCACATCACCTACCAGTCCTTCTCTGTTAGCAAAGAGCAGGTCTAGCAGGGCACCACCCCGGTAGGCTCTTGTACCAGCTGTGCAAGGAAGCTATCTTCCACACACTCTAGAAACCTCTTGGACTGCTTCCTTTGAGCCATATTATATTTCCAACATATATTCAGGGAAGTTGAAATCCCCCACGAGAACGAGTGCTGGTGATTGCGCGACTTCCACAAGCTGCTCATAGAACGCCTTGTCCATCTCCTCATCCTGATTTGGCGGTCTATAACAGACCCCAACCAAATGTCTCCCCTACAGGCCTTCCCCCTGATCCTCACCCATAGACACTCCACTTTATCATTTGCAACCTCAAGCTCTTCAACATCAAAACAGTCTTTAATATAAAGGTCCACACCACCACCCTTCCCTCCTTGTCTATCCCTTCTGAAGAGCTTGTAGCCATCCATCACAACACTTCAGTCATGGGAGCGGTCCCACCATGTTTCAGTAAAAGCAGCTAGATCATAGTTACCCTGACGCACAATTGCTTCCAGTTCTTCCTGCTTGTTGCTCATGCTGCGTGCACTGGTGTAGATGCACTTCAGCAGAGTCATTTGCCGAGTAAACTACCCCATGGTCAAAGAACCCAAAGTTTCTGGCTCGGCACCAGCCTCTGAGCCAGTTATTCATTGCTTGCACCTTCCATGCCCGCTCCGAGTCCCACACTGCCCCTGACAGTACAGAACAAAAGATTACTTGGGCTCCCGCACATTGAACTAACCGCCCTAAACCCCTGAAATCCCTTTTCATTGTCTGTAGACTTGTCTGAGCAATTTCCTCACTGCCCACCTGAACTATGAGCAACGGAAAGTAATCAGTGAGCCTCACCAGCTTTGGTATTTTCCTGGTTATGTCCCTGACCTGGGTCCCAAGAAGGCAGAACACTTCTCGGCGGCTCGGGTCTGGTCTGCATATGGGGCCCTCTGTTCCTCTGAGAAGGGAGTCACCCACCAAGACCACCCTTCTTTCTTTCCTGACAGAGGCAGTTTGGAGGCATGGGGGTGGCCGCCTCACCTTAGGCTCCCTCCTCCTAACAGGTTAGGAGGGATGCAGGTTATGCAGGTTAGCATATAATAACCTAAATTTGTGACATTAACTGCTTTTCTGCAGGAAAGTACTATATAACATGAAAACATTTCTCATATGTGAATACAGATCCTGTTTTGAAGTAATGATGATGTCCTATAGAAACTTTTCTGTACCTTTTTGTAGGTTCTGTAATGTTGAATGAGGAACTGCATATCTTTGTTTTATACTTCTCAGACAAGAAGCATTTGTTCTGCCAGGTGAATCATTTGTATCCCTAGGTCTAGGCATGTGAAATCAGCAGTCTCCCTCACAGTGAATGCCATTTTTAGCCAGCTTGTTCCCATGAGACATGAAACACGAGTTCAAAGCAGCTTCACAAATTCAGGAGTGAGATGATTCTATTCACCAGTTTTGCTTATTTGTTCACTGTGCTGTGATATTTGCTATGAAAGTAATGTTTCCAAGGTGCAACAGGAAATCAATGTCAGAAGTCTTGCTGGGGGAATTCTAATGTCTTGGAAATAATTTATTTAATCTCTGTTGTTACTTAATCTCTGTTGCCTTTCTTATCAGTAATCTTTTTTTTGTCACATCTGATAAGACTTCTTGTTACAGCATTAGGGAAAAATGAATACTGATAAGAGGCTATTACAAATTATGAAAATTTGATCGGGCTGTCATATTGTGGCAGAACAGAACACTGCTTCTTACTCAAAAATTACATTAAGAAAGAACAGGCAGTATTCTAGCTCTCTTTCACAGCTGACGTAGGAATATTGACAGTGTAGGACCACTCACAGATTTGTGAAGTGTTTGTACGATTGAGTCCATCTCTCCCAGTGTCTTGCCTAAAGTTTCTTTACTAAAGTTTCCTAAGTGCTTAATAAATATACTTAGCACCATATTCAATTTATTTCCATCATGATTCCTACCCTTGTTATTAATAAGTGTTTGCTGCTTCTGGACCTCCTGTTTCTTTTCTGTTTCTTCCATATGATTCATTTATTTCATTCCAACATCTGCATTCCATTCTCTTTTATTGTGTGGGTTTGAAAAGATTTTAATACTCACTTTCATATCATGAGTGACTGGATACTGAGGAATTTTTGCTAATCATAACACAAAGAATTCACTTTTTTAATCTATTATTAAATTTACTTCTGTTTACTGACCATTAAGTGTCATATTGTCTAAAGCTTGTTTGAAGCTTCTACTGGCTTAGAAAAGTTATGTTTTTCATCACAAAGGTTAAAAAAATGTAGTATTTCTCATGAGAGGCCATTGATCTCTGCATATCCTACCACAGTGTTAGATTTTTCTTTGAAAAGAATATCTCACAGCACGTTCCACTTAAGCATTGCAGGAGTAGATTTTGCAGATATCTGACCCTAAATCTGAAAAGCACCGAAGCCTGAAACCTACAGTCCTGAAGATGCCACTCTGGAAATCCAGGAAACTGTTTCACTTAAAAGCTAGAAAGCCTGACTAGCAATAATTTGTACTACACCCTGTCCTATGTAACTGACCCATAACCTTGATTTGAAGCTCAGACTGACAGCACTATTCTGCAAGTTTATGTGCTAAAAGCTTTCATGAATAACTAGAAAAGCAGCTTATTACTGAGTATTGCTCTCTTAAAAAAAAAAAAATAATAAAAAATCAGCTGTTTAATTTGCACTGCTACTAATAAGACACAGCAATGCCACTTCAGAAATTTCACTTTAGGGAATATTCCCTTGCATTGTTCTCACAAAGGGGTTGTATGTCCCAGAGTAGTCACTGTTGAAATTGACTATTCTTAACTGGAAAGCATTAACTAATGGCAACATGTCTTCCTTGGATGAGAATGAGATCCAGGGAAAAATATATGAAAAATGGGGATAAATATTCATTTGACATTATCTTCCATATGAAAATAAGACAAATGCTGCTTTCACTTTGTCCTTGTAATGCAGCATGGACAATCATACGCTTACTTGTTTCCTATGCTAAAGCAAACTTCCTACAGCCAGAATTTCTGTGAAGCAGGGCCATGTGACTGATGAAAAATATTTAAGCCTAGATAGAAGGCCCACCAATTACTTTTAAAGAAAGCAAGACCTTCTTTGCATATGATGGCAATGCTTACTCATTTGAAACTGCAGGGCAAGAAAAAATAGCTGTTCAAATCCAACGTGGTCTTCCCACAACAAGTGCTACCACAAAACCTAACCTGGGATTCCTCATTTTCTGTGCCTCAAATTAGGATTAACATGCTTGCTTTAAAATAGATAATTCAGTCACTGCTAAGAAAATAACAAGGAGCTTTTCACTATCTTACTAATTACACCCTTTTTTTCTTCCCTCACTTTCTCAGGCAGTGCTGAGCATGTGCTGCTGGTCCCCACCACAAGCTGCATCTGAACACAGATGTACCATGGGTTAAGAAGGTCTCAAGAGTAGTCATTCATACTGAAAACAGAGGCATCCATAGCAAATACTAGGTGCCAGCATCCCTCCAAAGACACTCTTTCCTTTCATTCTAAGTTATTCAGGTTGCTTGAGGAAATAAGTTGGAGCTACCTCTGATGCCACATGTCTCCAGTGTCTTCATGTGAAGACAGGTTAATGAGACCTGTGTATTTTACGTGCTATTCTATGAAAATGCTCCTAGAATATTTTTATGTAAACTAGCACCCAAGAACATGTCTAATCCCCCAAAAAAGCCTTCAGCCTGCTCTGATGATGTCAGTGAAGGCATTCAGTTCCACAAGCAGTACCTCCAGCAAACAGTGGTAAAATAATTGTCATTAATACCCTACAGCAGCCTCTGATGACCTTCAGGTATAGCGTGATATTAACATTTATGTTTGTTACCACAGTACATAAGAAAGTGAAGCTTGCACAGTATCTACACAGCATCCCTGCTCCACAACAGCTTCTTATCTAAATAGACAAGCAGATAAAAGCTAGAGAAAAGGATTAAATATACAAACAGAGAAAGAGAAGCATCAGCCTGCAGATTTCATGTCATTTCAGCTACTCTTGTTTATTTGCCCTTTGGATAGGTTTTAATTAGTAAGGGATTAATTGACAGACAGAGGACAAGGGATGGTAAAGAGAGGATGAGGCAAGGCAAGGCAAGGGAGAGAGGCAGAGAGTGTCTGGCACGAGGCTGAGATGAGTCTGTGAGAAAGAAGGTCAGGGGGTTGCAGAAGGTGTCCTTATGGTGCATTGGAGAGGAATTCATAACCCAAATTGTAAATAAATAAATAAATAAATAAATAAATAAATAAATAAATAAATAAATAAATAAATGAACAAACAAACAAACAAATAAATAAATAAAAATCTGATGGCTATAGTGTTACCTGTAAAGGGACAGGTGCTCTATCCTGTCTTGCTATTTGTCTTATAGCAAAGAGGCAGCCCTGAATTGGTAAGGATACTCAGACTGCCCACAGCATGCTTCATGATCTTTACAGAAACATAACTGTCGTGCAGAATGCTATTTGTTTTACCATCCTCACAGCCAAAATCAGCCTTAAACTGGTTTCTCCAGAAGTTGCTGTCTGGCTGAGTGCCAATACGATGAAAAGAGCTGGTGCATCCCAGAGGGTCTCTGTGCTTTACTGTGCCAGATCAAAGAGCTGAGAAGCCCCAGGGACTCTCAGCTCTTTAATGCCCACATTCTCAAGGCTGTTGTTGGAGGAATAAAAAAAAATAATAAAAATTTTAAAAAATAAAATAAAATAATCCTTTTCTATCTGCTTGAGCAGAGAACCAGCTGAAAATAAGGCTTGGTTTCTGGAACCTGCATTGTATCGTAACAGGAGAAGGCTGGAAACCACTGTGGTGGTAAATTCTAAGGTGGCAATTAAGAAAGAAAAATCATACTGAAAAAGATTCCAGAAAAAGAAATGAAATTAACTATGTTACACTAACATAGTCCAATGCAGGGCACATGGAAAAAAGTACAGAGATGTAGTTGTTGTTTCCTTTTCCTGGTAAAATATAAGATATGCAGCCCTTCTAAATGATAATACTCTTGCAAATTCTGAAGACAGGAGCTACCTACAGACTGCTGTAGGCTGCAGTGAAATGAAGAAGGAAGGAAGGAACTGCCAGCGGAGGGTGATATTGTACAACATAAAATAAGCAGCCTCTTCTTTCATCAGTGTTACTGACAGAGGGTAGAGGTTAAACTTCACAACAGCCCTCCATTCTTAATTTTGAAAATAGCAGATAACTTCAGCCCAAGGACATGGAAGAGATGTAGAAAGAAGCTGAATGAAATTAAGAGAGAGGATGAAATGAGGTCAGAGAAGAAGGAAAGCAGAGAGGATGCAAACCTGAGAAAAGAAGACCAGATGGGGCTGACAGTCAGTAGGGCAGGGAATCAAAAAGAAAAAAAAAAAAAAAAAAAAAAAAAGCAGCATGAGTAAATACTCCCTTGGTGAATCATGTGACTTTTAAAAATGGAAAAATAGATCAGAGGAAGATTGACTATTAAAGGTTAATTCTGGACTGAAGAGTGATGAACAAC